TCCTCGCCACAACGCGTTTACATGTCCTCCTTCCATCAGGGGATGCCGCCAGCTAAATCCTCTTTGTTTACACCTTTTCTGTTTGTCCTTTCTAGACTGAGCTGAGTGAGCAAACCAGATCAGAATATTTTTCCAGTGTGGGAGAAACCCGAGAGCTTTTACGCAGCCCGAGAAAAACAAAGAAGACTGTGCTTCAAACGATGTAAGTATGATCTAATGCTTTCCAACCCCACCAGTCAAAGAGGACACTCACACAATGTTTGTTCCTTTTTTTTTAACTTTTTTTTTTTTTTTTTTTTTTGCAGAGCCAAACAAGCTTGTGTCCAGCAAGAGATCTGTGGTTCCACGACTGAGATGCAGCAGATGGAGCGGAGTGGCTTTCCCAAAAAACAGGGACTTGAAGGTAAAGCCGGGGAGGCAGAATCGAGACCAGAGGCCCTGCCCAGGTCTGAACTGAACGCACCCATGGAGGCAAACCACAGGGTGCCTTGCAGCGATGCCTTAATTGAGCCTGAGGCTGAAGTACGGTCTTCTCAAAGGCAGAAACACGAGGCAGAGAGTGAAATAACACAGAAGACCAGCAAGAGGTGCGAGACCAGGGAAGATCCTGGCTCGCAGCTGGCCAAGAAAACGTGCCTTGGAAGCTGTTCAGCCCCAGCGCAAATCCACTCCACCTCGCAAACACTCAACCATAACCTCCCTCCCCTGCTGCCACTTCCTCCAGTCGGAGCGATGGCAAACTCCAAGGCTTTCCCTGTCTCCGAGTGCAAGAAAACCACACTGGAAGTAGAGCTGCTTACTCCAGGGAAACAGGCCCAGAGGCTCCTCCTCGCAAGCAATAACACAGCAAAGACAAACCAAAACAGGCCAGCCGCAAGTCTGAGGGGCCTATCTGTCAAGCCCGCATCCTCGGGCTCCTCTATTGGTTCCAGATCCGCGTTCGGAGAGGAGGGGAGTGAAAACGTGCCCAGAACCTCGAGATTACGACGAACGAAGAGGTCCTGAGAGGGAGAGGAAAGCTGAAGTAAAGATCCCTGACGCCACGGAGATACAGATTTTATTCTGTCGGGCTGAAAGCTTGCAGCTCATGTGGTCTCTTTAGTCGGCTTTACTTGTTATTTTTAACATGTTGTTCTTGTGACTCGCATCAAATGCTAACTGCTTAGTGTTGGTTCAGACTTGAGCGTTACAGTATTCTCTTGACAAATACCAAAAACAGGCCGGTGCCTCTCCCGTTTTTTAGGAGCGGCAATCCAGAGATTTCTGCAAATGGAAGTAGAAAACCTTTATTGGAGAATAGATTTTGGTTTTATGTTAAAGATCAGGGATTTGAGACAGGCAGGAGCCGCGCAGTACGTCATGGCTTTCAGTCTGAAGCGCTGGCTCCTACGCGTCTGAAAAGTGTCCAGTATCCCCGCCGAAGCTCTGATGTGATTGATGGCAGTTTCCAGACTTATTTCATCACCCCATTCTTATTTTGGGTTGACTTCAGTCGCTTACATTTAACCTAATCCATCGCTCCTGAGCAATTGAAGGTGGTACATTGTAAAAGTATTCACACCCCTTGAGCTTTTACACATTTTCTTATGTGTTTTGTTGGGATTTTATATGATAGACCAACATAAAGTAAGGCTGTGAAGTTACAAGATAGCAGTATTATTTTTTTTTCCTTTTTGCAAAAACAATAAAAAAAATCTGAAAAGTTTGTTGTCCTTTTGTATTTGGACCCTTTTGTTCCGACATCTCTAAATGAAACTCGGCGCAACCGCCTTCAGAAGTTCTCAAAGTAGCAAAAAGTTACCTGTGTTTAACTCGGGCTCTGTTGCACAGAGGTAACTGAGTCTCAACATTTAGGTCTGGACTTTGACTGGTCCATTCTAATCCATGAATGTGTTTTGACTGAAGCCGTTCCAAACCTCCTCCTGGATGTTTAAGTGGTTGTCCTTTACCTTTACCAAAGGACAACCACTTGCAGCCTCTATCAGGTTTTTCTCCACGTTTTTCTCTACCAGGTTTTTCTCCAGGTTTTTCTCCAGGATGCTTCTGCATCCTGGAGAAAAACCAACCTAGGTTGCAGTTCTTTCAAACTTTTCATTTTCAAAACTGTGCGAGATTTTCAAAGCACTGATTAATCAGCCAGCTGATTTATCGGCACACACTTTCTTAATTTTGGGATTTCGGTTATCGGCCAATACTTGCATTTTAAGACAATCTTGAGAGGTTTGACTGATAGACGTTCCTGCTATATTTAGTGGACAAAATTGGTACTTGCCAAAATCAGAATTGGCAGGTCAGGCTTTTTAAAGATCGGTAATCATCGGTGCCGCTTTACTTAGGATATTTTATAACCTAAAACCTGCTGTAAACGTCTCCCTGACCTGGCTGCCATGATGCTGGTTGTTCTCTTACAAACTTCTGAGCCCTTCACAGAACAGCTGGATTTATATTGAAGTTATGTTGCACACAGCTGGACTTAATTAGGTGCCTTACACTCCACTTAATTCAGGGGTATTAGAGTTCATGGGGAACTCTTTCAAACTTGCAGATTTCTAGACATTAATGAATCATCCTATTCCTTTTTTTGGCCCATAATTATTGCTCCACTTTGCCTTGGTCCATCCCAGGGGTCAGCAAGTTTACAACCTTGAGTCATTTCGGTTTTAGATCCAGCTAAACAAAATTTGCTTAAAGCCGCATAAGATTCAACATTAAACAAATTATTTTGTGGGATTTTTTTTTTTTTAATTAAAGAAAACTTTTGTAATATATATAAAGAAAATCAAACTTTTACACAGTTTTTCCAAGGGAATGTATAAAATAGAAAACTGTCAAAAAAGCTCATTTTGGAACTAAAAGATGAAAAAAAATCCTTACAGTACTGCATGAAAACAGCATTTTTGACTAAAGTTATTAAGAGCCACATGTGACTCTGGAGCTGCAGGTTGCATATTCCTGATCTATCCTGTGACATACATAACCGTTATAACTTAGCACTGTGACAAAGGTATAAAAGTTCAACAAGTTGGAATACATTTGCAATAACGTAAATTTAAAAGCATTTCAGGGATACAGAGTGGCTTTTATTCTGGATTCAAGCCAAATATGAAAGACTACTTGGGTATAAGTGGTGATTCAGTCTTTATATTTTACCTTTTTTTTTTCCTTTTCAGTTATTCACGCGAATAACTGATTTGATTATTTTCCATTTTCTTTCACACACACACAGAACTGATTGGGACAGCTTTACGGAGTTACCGTTGTGTGCGCTGGAGCCAGATTAGTTTGGCCCAAGTCCCCTAATGTTCTAGGGTCATCCTCGGGAAGTGTTGCTAATCCCTGGTCTCAGTTTTAATCCCGTCAAACATATTCCCAAGAGATGCTCCTTAAACTCTGATCCCTGCCTTTCTGTAAGGTTTGTAAAGAAAAGCCCAGACAGACGAGGGGAAACCTTGTGAGCGGATCATGGGGTGTGAAGGTACTTTTGACCCGATGTGAGGACGGCCGGCCGCAACACAATTAGCAGTAAACATATTAGGACAGGAACCTCGTTGGGAGCCTATGAAGTTTCTCCAGCTCCGGTTCCCACGCCAGCTGCATGAGAACGCGCTCATAATGCGCTCTGACATGTTCTGGCCCCAGATGCGTCACACACACACACACAAACACACACACACACAGAGAGACTCTGAACTCGATTTCTCCAGAACAAAGACAACTTTAATTCTCTTTTCATACAAAATATTTAATAAATATGACTTTTCAAAAAATATATTGCCAGATCAACACATAACTCTCAAGTTCATAACACAAAACAAGTCAGAAAGGACAAAGTGTTGCCAAGATCTTAAAGGGTTAACAAATGAGATCTTTAAAGAGCCTCGTCTTTTTTTTTGTTTTTTTTGTGTGTGTTTGTTTTCGTTTTTTGAAATGTGCAGAGAAACAAAGCGAACTCTAGCAGAGGAAGGCAGTGTTTGCATCAGTGTTCCCATTGCCCCCCTGCTGTTCAAGTATTTTGCTGACTAAAGCAGATGGGAATTCGACAGCCATTGAAATACGTGGGTGGGTGAAAAAACTGAAACTGCTGAAGAATTTTTGTTCCCTTACGAGTGAATTTATATCCATTAGTGGCAAGCAATATGTCTGCCACCATGTCCAACCCTCGTAGCCGAAGGAGATCTTTTTGTCGTCCTAACCTCACTTGGTTTCAATTAAGGTCCTGGCAACAAATAATGAAATGTCAAATGTATTTGAAAAAAAAAAAAAAAAAGAGAGTGGAGTTTTCAGGCGTGTAAAGTTCCCGTCTCTTGTCTTCTAAAGTTTGAAATTTGCCTTTTTTTTTTTTTTTGTTTTTTTGAAAATTGTTTTAAAAGAAATGGAAAGCTTCTGCAGCTATCAGAACCTTCAAACTAGACAGAACATATAAATAAAAAGGAATGATATCTTTAAGGCTCTTGATTATTAAGTTAATAAATCAAATATACACAATGATTAATAAAAAATGTACATATCTACAAGTTCTAAATTGTCACATAAATTCTTCATATTGGCAGCAACTGCTGACACTGAACCATTTGTTCTCTCTTGCTCCCCCCCAGAAAATTAAAATAAATAATAAAGTGGATTTTCTTTTTTTTTTTCCTCTTGACAGTTGCTCGAGTCTAAAAGCTGAAAAGGCACTTCCTCCAAATGAAACTAGAAGGAATTCAAACATGTACTAAAGAATAATTAGCTCTAGTGTCGAACACGTCGTGTAGTTTTAGTCAACAATTATGCCAGAAGCCCCCTTCCATTTGTCCGCTAAATTAAAAACCGGGGGTGGGAGGGGAGGGGGGGGGAGTGGAAATGAAATGCACAAGAGGACACTTTTGCAAGTAGCTCTACGGTGAAATGTAGACCAGTGCCTTGTGTTTCCAGCCAACCAAAGCAACCGTCACTGCCAGTGTAAGCCAGCTTGTCAAAACTTAAATTAACACGGGGAATATGTGAAAATACTGACGGGGTCAACAAATGACATGACCGTTTTATTAACTACACATGCCGAGGCTCCCCGTTTTCACCCACCACCTGGGTGTGAAGGAATAAGGCTTGGTTGCACAGCAACACAGCTGTCTGCTATACGATGTAGTCCATCCTGTTTATGCTGTTTGCCGTCTCCAAGTCCCTGTTGTCTTGTTTATTAGTCCAGTTAGGATGCTTGGATGTTGGGTTGGGATTGGAGATGGGCGCCTTCTCGTCCCTCTCCACCAGCGTGTATGCTGGCTGTTTGGCGAAGCGGCCCTTCTGTAAGTGCCTCTCCTTGTCGTCCTCATCCCCTTCGGGATGATTTGTCCTTATTTTGGCAATGATCGAGTTCTTGTTTTCGTAGTCTTTGATGGCCACCGTCAGGCCCACGTGCTTCTCTATAGGGTTCTTGATCTGGTTGAGGTGCTCCCGCACGTTGTTGGTGGTGTTGTCCTCGGAGCCGCTCGGCAGCGTCCCGTTGTGGTTGCTCTGTTTCCGCCGCCGCCGCATGCACCACAGCAAGACGGAGACCAGCAGGAGGAACCAGATGACGATGAAAATGGAGGAGAGGAGGGGCACAAGGTAGTCTGGTGGAGGAAGATGAGAACATGTCAGTCAGATCCCAAAGAACTCTACATAATAAAAAAAAAAAAAACTTTTTTTTTTTTGCATTACTATGTCAATGCATGGCTTACAAACTTCTTTACACATAAAAAATAAAAATTTGTAGTTTAAACCCCAAATTCCAAGTTTTCTAGAAACCCCTTTTGCTGCAGGTCTTTCGGGGTCTTTGAATTTACTAGTTGAAAGTTTTATTGAAGGGTATGGCAATGAGACATCCTAAATTCAAATGGATGGCATGATTTCTATTCAAATGTAATGCATTGTTAAAGATCCAGTAAGGTACAATGAGTTGACAGTTGAAGATTTGCCTTTGAAAGGCACCATCTGGTCAACAAACAGGCTACTGGTACTGCGTGGATGGACAGTGGACATGCAGAAGTCCAACCAGTCCATTGAAATCCACGCAGCAAGGCAGCCCTGCTCTGAATCCTGAATGTCTGGCTAGACTTTAACACTCTGCTAACCGCCGCTGCACGCCAGACCTGGGAGGTTTCACGTGTAGGAGGGGAAGGAAATGCTCTTCAAATAAACACATTTTTTCTTTAAGGTTTGCTGTCATATTTAAGGTGTGGCATCATCAACTGATCAAGTGTGTGCACGTCTGGGAGAGATAGACTCGTTTCATACCAGTTTTGCTGGGTCTCGGCACCTGAACTTTGACAATGGCAGAGAGGATTGTGTTGTTCCCGTTGGCCTTGCTAACCAGGTCGATTATTCGGTCTGTGATCTCTTTGATGGGATTGCGGTCCAAACGGTGGTCTTCAGTAGACTAGATTCAGAGAAAGGTTTCAAAATCAGTTTTTTTTTTTTTTTAATACATCACATATTTCCTTGTTCCCCTCCAATCACCCAATATAACTCCATCTAACCCCGTCCCATTAAAGCATCTTTAAGTGCTGCTGGGAATTTACGCTGCTGGCTATAAATCAAAGCAAAGTTTCCTGAGAAACACATGGCAGACTGAGTGGGAGGAGGCACTTACCAGGCAGACGTGGATCTCGTTGCTGGCCGAGAACGACGGGTCACAGGTTATAGTCACAGAATGCTCCAAGGAAAAATTCCTCACTATGTTCAGGTTCCTCAGCTGCTTACAAACTCCTTCCACGGTTAAGCCCTACGCACGGAGAAGAGATGAGTTAATGATGCGGCAAGAAATTAGGACTAAAACTGGAGCGTTGACGACGTTTCAGCAAAAAAAAAAAAAAAAAAAAAAATTTTTTTTATTTTAAATTACACAAAAAAAAAAGAGTTTGTCCCCCGTTTTAGCTAAA